AATATAATATAATATAATATAATATAATATAATATAATATAATATAATATAATATTATAATATATTATTCATATAAATTAATATGAATTGCCAAATATCGATAATAGAAAACTTGACTTTTATTTCCATTTAAAAATTGAACAATTAATTATGCAATTAACATTCGCATGTAGTAGATTACGTTTGAAATCTTCATCGTCGTTAAAGTGTGAGAGGAATTAAAAGCAGCAATATCGTGAAATTAAAAACACGTAACATGGCGACGTTCTTCCTTGAAAACACAGGTACCATAAATTCTCTCCAATTGTCCCTCGGCTTGCAAACAGAAATGGACAATTTGGGAAGAGGAGATACGATTACACGAGCCCCGCGGCTCGTTTTCATAGTCATCGATTGCCAGCAACTACGAAAACGAGCCGCGAGGCTCGAATTCTCTTCCCAAATTGTCCGTCCAATTGTCCATTTTTGTTTACACGCTGAGGGACAATTGGCGAGAATTTAGTGTGCAATAGTAACGAATGATGAATTCCCTTTCAGAATGCGGCCTGTCCAATCAAGAGAATCGAATCGTCGGAGGAAAGCCCACGACGCCGAACAAATATCCATGGGTGGCGCGCTTAGTGTACGAGGGTCGCTTTCATTGCGGGGCCAGCCTCGTTAACAATGATTACGTTATTACCGCGGCTCACTGTGTACGTAGGTAGGTCTCTGATTTAAGCTACGAGCACGTCGCAGCTCTCTGCGATTCGCAAACATTTTTCATTATTACCGGACTCTGTGTATGCACTCGTGGCAGATTGGACACTGCGAAACGTAACGAAATAGAAAACACAACGCAGGAATAACGCGATACAAACATATCAGTGGTTTTCAAAACTCGCTGCAAGCAGATTTAGGTTCGAATAGAAGGTTTATACGAATCGTTCAATTTGAATAAAAGCCTAAAATTGATAGGCGATAAAAATAATGTAAATTATAGATTTAAGATTAAAGATTTAATAAAATTGTTACACGGACCCTCTGTTCAACTAAATATGAATTTTGTTGTAGCAGTTTTTTAAGATTTCATTTTATGTTTTCCGAAATCTTCTTAGAATTATAAGCTTTCATTTTGTTTTTATTTATTTATATATTATTATTTTTATATTTATATATTTATTATTATTTTATATAATATTTATATAAATATTTATATTATATATATAGATATATATTATTAATATTATTAATCATATAATTAATATATATATAATATTTATATAAATATTTATATAATATATTTTATATAATTTATATATTTATTATTATTTTCTGAAATAGTTGTCAATTGAACTGTATTTGGATCTGTCGATGTGACAAATTTTGTGAGGATTTAGGAACACATCTTCGAAATTCGACATTCTGAATAATCCTCAGTATAGTACATTGCGTATAATACATTCGTTAATCCTAATAATATAGTTACGATTTATTGCAATTTATTCTGATCAATCGGAAGCCACTTTGTAGTCCTGTTACACAGAATTCATTTTAAATGATCGAAGAAACTTATTTCTTAATTGAAAACAATATTTCGAATATGCAATCGCATTTATGGACACTAATGAGATCGAACGTGTTTTCTAGATTGAAACGTTCCAAAATCCGCGTGGTTCTCGGAGATTACGATCAGTACGTGAACACCGACGGCCGGGCAATAATGAGAGCAGTGAGCGCCGTGATTCGTCACAGGAACTTCGACATGAATTCGTACAATCACGATGTCGCTTTGCTAAAGCTCCGGAAATCCGTGAAGTTCACGAAAAGTATTAGACCGGTCTGTTTACCGCAAACAGGTAAGAAATAGGAACAAACAAGGGAACGATCGTAACCGGATCGATCGGTAACCATTTCCATCGTCGGCCGGGAAACATTAAAGTTCTTAACTTCTGACACGCTTCAAAACTTTCGGATTCATTAAAGTGGTCGTAATTACGAAGTTTCAGTTTCCACAACAGTCCGCTTAGCTCTTGAGAAATACCTATTACGGTACATGATTAAGAACTTTCAATCTTGTACGATCTAGAACGATGTTGCCGTCAACTTAAAACCGCTTACTTTCATGTTAAGCCCGCGATAAGAATATTAGAAACAAAATTCTGAACTTATCGTGTGTTGTAGCATAAAAAGTAGAAATTGTTTACTTCATCTCTCGATCCATTTCTCAATATCAGTTGCTTCTCGCTCGGTCTGTTTTACAAGTCAGCGAGATGTAATCTTCTAAAAAGTCAGATTTAACGACGCAGATAAAATAAAAATATTTCGTTGT